CCTTCCATGCCTCCCCCCCTTTGCTTCCCCATCCATCCATCCATCCATCCACATGCCCTCTCTCCATCCCTCCCTTCCTCCCTCCCTCCATCCACCCATCCAACCTTCCATCCATCCATATACACGCCCTCCCTCCATCCACCCATCCACCCATCCAACCTTCCATCCCTCCATCCATCCCCACCTTTGCTTCTCCATCCATCCATCCACATACATGCCCTCCCCCCACCCCCCCATCCAACCTTCCATGCATCCCCTCCTTTGCTTCCCCATCCATCCATCCATCCATCCACATGCCCTCTCTCCATCCCTCCCTTCCTCCCTCCCTCCATCCACCCATCCAACCTTCCATCCATCCATATACACGCCCTCCCTCCATCCACCCATCCACCCATCCAACCTTCCATCCATCCCCACCTTTGCTTCTCCATCCATCCACCCACCCCCATACATGCCCTCCCTCCATCCACCCATCCAACCTTCCATGCATCCCCTCCTTTGCTTCCCCATCCATCCATCCATCCATCCACATGCCCTCTCTCCATCCCTCCCTTCCTCCCTCCCTCCATCCACCCATCCAACCTTCCATCCATCCATATACACGCCCTCCCTCCATCCACCCATCCACCCATCCAACCTTCCATCCCTCCATCCATCCCCACCTTTGCTTCTCCATCCATCCATCCATCCATATACATGCCCTCCCTCCATCCACCCATCCAACCTTCCGTCCATCCATCCCCTCCTTTGCTTCCCCATCCATCCATCCATCTACACGCCCTCCCTCCCTCGCTTATCCATCCATCCATCCATCCATCCATCCATATACACACCCTCCCTCCCTCCATCCCTCCCTCCTTTTGTTTTCCCATCCATCCATCCCTTCTATCTCTCTAGCTGTCTAATCTCCTCCCACTGGGGCATGGAGTGGGATTACACCCCCCCACACACTCCTCCCCACGCCCCGGCTATTCCCCTGACCCTAGGGGCTGTCAGGTTTCCTGTGGAAGCTGGCCCAGGGATGGGTCGATCAGGCTGGCTCTGAGCCGGAGCTGGGAACTGGCCCTGGCGATCGCTGTCACACGGGCACAGGCAGACAGCGTTGTTCCTTAGCTGAAGTCAGCCGCGCCGGCTGCCATCTGTTCTGTGAAGCGAAGCGTCATCATCCTTATAATTATTAGGGGCCGTATCCTGCGGGCCCTGGCTCCCCACGGCGCCGGATCAGTCAGACAGAGCTCGGGGGGCGTAACTGGGAGCAGAATTTGCCTAGATGACTCAGAGATCAGTAGCGATTTTTGCAAAGAGCCTTGAAAATTCAATCCGCCCACACGGGAGATGCAGCAGCCTCTGGGGCGGGGCAGCTGGGGAACAGCCGCATAGGCACGGGGATGGCTCGCCTGGAGCTGAGATGCAGCCATCTCTGGGGTGGGGCTGGGGCAGCAGGGGAACATCCACACAGCAACACTGCGCGGGGATGGCTCACCCGGTGCTGAGATGCAGGACAGCTGGGGAACAGCCACACATAACACTACACAGGGCAGGCCTCCCCCAGTGCTGGGATGCAGCCACCTCTGGGGTGGGGCAGCTGGGGAACGGCCACACATAACGCTGCAGGCCTCCCGCAGTGCTGGATGCAGCCACCTCTGGGGTGGGGCAGCTGGCGAACAGCTGCACAGTGACGCCACATGGGGATCTCAGTGCCAGGCGAGCTGAAGCCGTGCGTGTTGCTGTGTGGCTGTTTCCCAGATTTACCCCTCCCCAGAAGTGGCTGCATCTCAGCACCGGGCGAACCCTCCCTGTCTCTACATTTCAAAGTGTTTACGCTTTTTGCGAAGAGAAACGCTGTGAATTAGAGCCCAGGACTGGCGCGGGTCCCATCAGCTGGAGAGATTCTGGGTGTGCCCAGCGTGTGCCCAGCGTGGGGGCATTACACAGGCTCCTTTGTGCCCAGCTGTGTCTCCCCTGGGCGGGGAGGGGGGGAGCTGGGGAGCGTAGGGGGGGAAATGTGTTGGCAGCACACGACAGGCATGCCAGGAATTCCTGCCCCTGGAATGAATCCATGGGGCGAGGGTGTCACGTGACCTTGGCCAGGGAAATCCGGGTCTTCAGTTCAAACTGCCATGGACTTGTATCTGCCAGGGATCATAGAACCCAGGAGCCCTGGCTTCCAGCCCCTCTGCTCTAACCACTAGACCCCACTCCCTTCCCAGACCAGGGATAGAACCCAGGAGTCCTGGCTCCCAGCCCCCCTGCTCTAACCACTAGGCCCCACTCCCTTCCCAGACCAGGGATAGAACTCAGGAGTCCTGCAGTCTCTGATCTCCTCTCCGGGGAAGATGCATCAATAAACTCAGAGCCGAACTATCCTTCCTCTGGCCCAGTGGGACCAGAGGGCCAGACCCACTGGGGCCCTGTGGGGCCACCTCCCCAAGCCCCACAGCCCCGGGAGGCAGAGAGCTGTGCCGGGAGTGGCAGCCAGCACGTGAAGCTGGCTCCCCATCCCCCCGGTGGCAGGTCCCCCCCACGCACACGCTGAGCCGGAGGAATTTGTGTGTGGGCTCCGCTCGCTCGCAGCAACGCAGAGCAACCGGCACCCCAGCTCGCCGGCTGCGGGAGGGGACGCCAGTGCCAGCGGCTGGCCCGGGATGGGACGCTGCCCCGCTGAGAGCCAGCGGTGGGATCCGTGAGGGGGAGGCTGGCGCCACACCGTGGGAGCTCTCTGCACCGGTATCGCCTGCTGCCCCCCAGCTCAGTCACCACCTAGCCTGGGGTTCCCCTTTTCCTTGCCCCCCGGATCAATCCCTGAGCCTGCTAATCCCCCTTCCCCACTGCCGGGGATCAGATCTGGGGTCCCCCTAACCTGGTATCCCCCCCTTCCTGCTGACCCAGATTGGAGCTGCTCTCTGGAAGGGCCGGTCCCAGCTGTGCAGAGGGGGGTGTTGTTCCGGACGCTGCCTCGGACCAGGGACTCTGATCACTCCGGGGTCCATTCGTGGCTCTGACCCCGCCGGTCCCTTCGGTTACAGGTGCCGGGATTTTGCCACCTTCATGCCGGAGTCGCCGAGGGGTTAGAAAGCCAGGAGGACACTCAAAGGTACGAGATTGCGGAGCGTCGTCATGTGCCAGACTGGGCTCGGGTGGGTTAGAGCAGGCAGGGCTGGGAGCCAGGACGCCTGGGTTCTGTCCCTGGCTTTGGGAGGGGAGTGGGGTTTAGTGGTTAGAGCAGGGGGGCTGGGAGCCAGGACATCTGGGTTCTGTCCCTGGTTGGGGAGGGGAGTGGGGTCTAGTGGTTAGAGCAGAGGGGGCTGGGAGCCAGGACGCCTGGGTTCTGTCCCTGGCTTTGGGAGGGGAGTGGGGTCTAGTGGTTAGAGCAGGGGGTCTGGGAGCCAGGACATCTGGGTTCTGTCCCTGACTGGGGGATGCGAGTGGGGTCTAGTGGTTAGAGCAGGGGATGTGTGGGAGCCAGGACTCCTGGGTTCTGTCCCTGGTTGGGATGGGGTGTGGGGTCTAGTGGTTAGAGCAGGGGGGCTGGGAGCCAGGACTCCTGGGTTCTATCCCCAGCTCTGGGAGGGGAGGGGAGTGGGGTCTAGTGGTGAGAACAAAGGTGCTGGGAGTCCAGACTCCGGATGATTAATGAGCCTTGTAGCTCTGATGACATTTTCCCTCTGGGGGCACAAAGGCCTTTGTCCCTCAGATGGGGAGAAGTCGCCTGTTTATCTTCCTGGGACCCATGTAGCAAGCGGGTGGGGTTGTGCTAGTCACTACTGATCAAAAGAGAATAGAACCAGGAGTCCTGGTGCCCAGCCCCCCTGCTCTAATCACTACACCCCACTCCCCTCCCAGAGCCAGAACCCAGGTGTCCGGACGCCCCACTCGTTCCACACGGGCTCCTGATAAGCTCTCTCAGTGCCTGTAACCCAAACTGATGCCAAACCCCGGTCATAGATGGCAGCCATGCCCATGACCGGGAGGCCGAGCCCCGCGTCACCTGGCTACCCCCGGCCTAGGCCTGCTGCCCCTGGCTTTTCTCCCCAGCTGAGCGTGGGTGTGTGTGTCACGGCTTGGATGGGAGACCCCCGCCCCCCAGCGGACGGGATTGGTGGGAGGAGCGTTGGGTGGGCACAGAGCCAGGCGAGGGCTTGTGGGGAGCTGGGGCTGGTCTGGGGCTTAGGGGCCAGAGGTTGAGGACTGGAGGGGTTCGGAGAATTTAGGGGGGCAGATGGAGAGCCAATGGATTGGGGGGGACAGAGGGCAGGATTTGGAGATGGGGCCGCAGAGGACATGAGGGGTTGAGGCGATTCAGGGGGAGAAAAGGGGGGGGGGCTGGCGGCTTCAGGGGAAATGGGGGTCAGGATTTTTTGGGGGGTGGGCAGCTGGAGGTGTTGGAGGGCAGATCAGGAGAGCTATTCTGGGGAGGGGACCCGGGGGGAGGATCAGGAATGAGGGGGGTGGGGCAGAGTCATGGGGGAGGGATCAGGAGGGCCGAGGCCTCCCCCGAAGGGTTATGGGACCGCCCTGCATCAGGACAGGGCTGGCTCCACGGCCCGTGGGGCTCACGCCAGGGCTGGGCCCTGGCAACCAGCCTGTGCCAGGGGGTTGGGGAGTGGCGGAGGCTTGGAAATGGGGCCTGATGCGGGCAAGGGGCTGGAGCCGTGTTGCCCGGCAGCCATCTTGCCTCTGGCTTGCAGAGGCCTGGGCAGACTGGGCCCCATAGGTAGGGTTACCATATCTCATAAATAAAAAAAGAGGACCCTCCACGGGCCATGGTCCCCCCCATTTCCCCACCCCTAGCCCCGCCCCAACTCCGCCCCTTCTCCACCCTAACTCCGCCCCCTCCTCCCTCCCACTCCCAGCCAGGGGGAAAGGGCTGCCCCAGTGCTACCAGCTTCACGGTTTGCCGGGCAGCCCCCAGACCCTGCGCCCCCGGCCGGCGCTTCCCCAGCGCAGCTGGAGCCCGGGAGGGGAAGCACCCAGCCGGGGGCGCAGGGTCTGGAGGCTGCCCAGCAAACCGTGAAGCCGGTAGCGCTCGGGCTTTGGGCAGCCCCCTGGCCTCCGGACCCTGCGCCCCCAGCCGGGCACTTCCCCTCCCGGGCTCCGGCGGCGCAGGGTCTGGAGGCACGGGGCTGCCCGAAGCCGGTAGCGCTCAGGCAGCTCGGCTCTTAAACAGAGCCGAAGAGTCAGGGAGAAGCAGAGCCGCCATTTTTCCGGACATGTTTGGCTTTTTGGCAATTCCCCCCGGACGGGGGTTTGAGTGCCGAAAAGCCGGACATGTCCGGGAAAAAGAGGACGTATGGTAACCCTACCCATAGGCCTCTCATTAAGGTTGCCAACTTTCTAATCACAAAAACCCGAACGCCCCTGCCCCACACCTTCTCTGAGGCCCCGCCCCTGCCCTGCCTCTTATAAGAGGCCCCATCCCCCACTCACTCCGTCCCCCCTCCCGCTGTCACTCGCTCTCCCCCACCCTCACTCTCTTTCACTGGGCTGGGGCAGGGGGTTGGGATGCGGGAGGGGGTGAGGGCTCCGGCTTGGGGTGCGAGCTCTGGGGTGGGGCCAGAAATGAGGGGTTCAGGGTGCAGGAGAGGGCTCTGGGCTGGGGCAGGGGAGTTGGGGTGTAGGAGGGGGTGAGGGCTCCGGCTTGGGGTGAGGGCTCTGGGGTGGGGCCAGAAATGAGGGGTTCAGGGTGCAGGAGAGGGCTCTGGGCTGGGGCAGGGAGTTGGCGTGTAGGAGGGGGTG